AAAACCCCATTCTAATTATGAAAGCCCCTGTATGATACATATCTACGGAAGTTTCAGATCATCCCTCGGCCTTGGAATCCTCAGCAGAGATGATACCATCCTGCTCACCTGCGGTGAGGTCACGATCAAAAGCAAGCTGGTGGAAAGCGATTAGGGTTTAGGGTTTAGGGCTTAGGATCATCATGTTCTTCATTTAAGTACTTAAGTCGGTTTAGCGCCGCACCGCGGAGCACTGTCCCCCGGCTGCACAAACGCAAAGGCTGGGCTACCCACCGTGAATCCAGCGACTGGGAGCTGTACTTCGTCGAAGCATATGCCCAATAACGCTATTTACCTATAACATATAACACTTTTCGCAGCAATAAACATAATATAGACTAATAATATGAAAAAGAAAACACACTAGCAATAACAGCAAAGACAGGACTAAGAAGAATCATAAAATCATAACAACAATACTATTAAGACTACTGATATATTGTTTCGGAAATCCCGACATGGAAGGTCCCCCACTCTCCCGCTTCCCCAGCCAGGAGCATCCAAGCTTCGGCGCGTCGCTTCCCTTTTTGCTCGGCTTCGGGTTTATGGTCTTGAGTTTAGGGTCTCGGGTTTAGGGTTTAGGGTTCAGGGTTTAGGGTTTAGGGTTTGTGGTCTTGGGTTTAGGGTTTCGGGTTTCGGGTTTAGGGTTCAGGGTTTAGGGCTTAGGGTTTATGGTCTTGGGTTTAGGGTTTCGGGTTTAGGGTTGCTCTACTTGTCCAGTAACCGATGGTAGCTACAGGCTAACTCCACTTTGAAAGTTATGAAAGTTATTAAGGGATCATAGTTACTAGCCCAAAACAGGTTAAACTCTCCTACTATGTTTTGCTCTTGCCTCGAATCACCAAGGTGGGCATGTCCACACATGCGCTCAGCTCCGCATCGGTGGCATTGCGCACCTGCCTGTAGTAGGCCTTACACCTGTGCAGGGCAAGACTTCACAGGCATGGGTTTCAAGGAGCAGCATGGTTCAGCATTTGGGTATTTTTCTGCCAAAATGTGCCAATAAGATTCAGATCTTGATGCACCAGAACTCCCGCCAGGGCGCATGTACATCGGATTCGCATTGCACGCATCTTCCTCCTGCTTCCGCAGCTCTGGGTCGCAGGAGCCAGCCAAAGCCATCTTCAAGAATGCGTCCGTCATGCCGTGCTGAAACCGGCTCAGAAGGAACACCGGCAGCCGAAAAATGGGATGACCTGGCGCAGCGTCCGAGATGCTAAACTACCTTTGGGTCTAGGGTCTAGGATTTGGGGGCAGGATAGCTGCATGACGAGAAGTGCCGAATGCCGCTTTGGAAGCACAGCATACGCTTGCCAGCGTGGGACATTGGTACGTCTGGCTTCTGTAATCTGATATTTCAAATGCCACCATGACTAGGGTATTTGGGATTCCCCTTCTCGCGCTACCCTCGAAGCTGCCCTTACCACAAGACCCTAACCTTGAAACAGGCTATGGAACGCAAGGTCCTAGCAGTTTTAGCAATTCAGAACCTGGGCAGCGACCGTTCCACTCTCAAGATGGGATCCATTCCATCTGCTGGCATGACCTAACACATTTTGTACATCGGATCAATTCTGGTTCCCTGTTGGGGCTATAGTAAATGATATTGCTATAGTATAAATGATCTTGTTTAATCCCTACTATTGGTTGTCTTGTAATAAATGTAAAGTTGTAGCCAACAAGGACCCAGAATTGAGCTACCCAGGCAGCACTATGCTGGGGGCCTCCGTGGCAGTGACAGGTTTGGCGGCTCAGTGGGCGCCCAGAAACTCCAAATCTACACCCTAAACTCTTAAGGTTTAGTGGTTCGGGTGTAAGGTTTAGGGCTCTAAGGCCCACGCACCTACACCCGTAAACCCTACACCATCAGAACAAAGCCTTCGCCAAATAAACGCTCGGATGCAACTGGTTTCCTCATGGAGTTACCCTGAACCTCAAATCGAAACCCCTAAGCCAAAAGCAGCCTCAACACCGGGTTTCCAGAGCCTTCAGGAAACTGCCGGGCGCCGCCAAGGAGAACCAAGCCGGAGATGGGTTTAATCTCGGCCTCCCGCGACAAAGAAGCCACAAGGCCTGGCTCTGTGATTCACACCAGGGCTTGGGGAATCTTCTGACGACAGCTTTCTGCACAGGACAGCTACTAGGTAATAGAAGGGCTTTTTGCTGATTAGAATAGGGTTTTTGGCTCCTTGATGGTATAGTTATAATAGGGAACCCGCAGGAATAATATTGGAAACTATTTAGGCTTCTACAGTACCAGTGATATCATATCATGCTCCTATTCACACAACCTATCTGAAGCGACCAGGGCTGCTACGATTGGAGCCGAACCAGGAGAGTCCAAGGAGTGTTGCAGGTCCGAAAGGACCGCACTTGGTCGGAAGCTGATTTCTTCCAGCTGCACGCTTGAAGTGCTTAGAAAACGAGGTTCAAGTTCTAGATTCTACATACTAGGGTTTAGGGTTTAGGGTTTAGGGGTTTAGGGAGACACCCTAAACCCTGAGGCCTAAAGTGAGATTGGCCCTGGCTACACATGCGTAATGCCAAGAGGCGAATCACCAAGTGGCTGCCAAAGGAATGGCCAGCGACCTTTTGGGGTTTAGGGGTTTAGGGTCTGGGGTTCAGGGTTTAGGGTTCAGGGTTTAGGGTTCAGGGTTGAGGGGTTTAGGGTTTAGGTTTTCTCGCATCACTCCCAAATAAGATCCGATGCTGAGGACAAGGCACAAGAAGCAGCAATGAAAGAAGTGAGAAGTGCAATGTAGGGGCCTCAACAATTAGAATAGGGTTTGGGGTATGTTATAAGTATAACAAGGAGCCCCCAACATAGCATAGGTTGATATAATTATTACGGCCCCTGTATTGCCTGAAACCACGATCAAAGAACCTACATGTCACCTAGTCTCCACGTCTGCAAGCACAGCTGCCACCATGAAGTTTCTAAAGGCATAGCCGCCCCTTTGTTGGCCCTCCCTGAAGGTCCCGGCTAAGTACAGTACTATCGGGGTTGGCAGCAGTAGTAGTAGCATCCCAACTCCTTATATAGCGGTACGATCATACACCGTCCAACTCTTAGTCTAACTATCAGGGGCCCGATGACGCTCATATAGGGGCCACAAAAAGTTATGGTGGAGATTCGGGGCCCATTATACTAGAATTATAATCAGGAACCCCCCCAAAAAAGTCTTGGTAGTTGTTTATATAGGCCCTTACATTAACAGGCCGTGCGCTGCGGATCCCGACGGTCCAACCCGAAACCCTAAACCCTAAACCGCAAGGTCTCAGGGCTCTGGTGTTTCCGGGCGCGGAGGCGTGAGGCGAAGAGGAACCATGGCCCGATTCTCCAACCGACCTCCCTTGTCAAGACCTAAATGTTTAGGGTTTAGGGTTTAGGGTAAATCCTTCACCCTGCAAGCTCCCAGAAGCCCCAAACGTCCCCCACCATGGCTGGTATGCGTCACGCCTGAAGCCCTGCACACGGGATCCTATGTGCCTCGACCTGGCTTTCCAACACCCCGGCCCTCCTGAAATCTTCCGACGTCTGGTTTTGGGGTTCAGGGTTTAGGCCACTAAAGCCAGGATCCCTAAACCCCAACAGCCTTAAGCCAAGCCCTCACCAAGAAGTGCCCAAATCCCCAAACAAACCCCAACACCCTCAAGTCTAAGCCCCAACACCCTGCACCCGATACCCTAAATACTAAACCCTAGGCCCCTATACCCTAAACCCCAACTTCAAGTCTTGACACGAAGTGAGGCCCGGTGCCACAGGCGGCCGCCAACTTCCAGACTTCCTTCAGATCGGCCAGGAGCTCATCAAAAGAGTAGGCGGACCAAGAGTCCTGTGGCGGAAGGGTTTAGGGTTTAGGTTGTTTTAGGGTTTAGGGTTTAGGGTGTAGGGCGGCGGAAGATAGAAGAGATGATAACGGTTTAGGGTTGAGGGCTTAGGATAAGATAGATAACGGTTTAGGGTTGAGGGTTCATATAGGGTAAGATAGAACAGATGATACTGCGATGTTGCATACGTCATACCTTAACACCCCTGCTGCGGATTGACGCCTTGAGGCCGGTTTGAAGTTTGAGGCTTTGCATCTTCTGGTCAGCCACCCGTTTTGCTCTATCACGTCTTGCAGAAGGGCTCAGTGTTTATGTAGAGGTTTAGGGTTTAGGGTTTAGGGTTTAGGGGTTTAGGGTTTAGGGTTTAGGGTTTAGGGTTCAGTGTTTATGTAGAGGCCCAGTAGCCGAAAGATCGGCGGCAAGGGCAACCCCCAAACTCAGAAACGTGGATGTAATCAAAAGGAATATGCAGAGGGATTATAGTGAGTCTGCATGCAGATGCCGTGTCCGGCTTGTCACTGCCGCCGCAGCCGTACCAATCGAAGGTGACAATCCCGTAGCCCATCTTCCTCGGAACCATTTCAAGTGGGACACAAGAGAACCTAAAAGGATTCGTGTTTGGCTGAGGTTTAGTCTAGTGCCCAGGCCGAAAGGACTGGCTGGCGACGTCTGTCCCTGGTTTTGGCGTTGTTTCAGTTAGCTGCATGGATTCCGTGGTCCTGGATAAGATTGCGGTGGGAGGTGTCTTAACCTCTGCTTCCTCCAGCATACCGTCTACCAACCCCCCCCAACTCCTAAACCCTAAACCCTATACCCCAACCTACCCCAACTGCTCTTGAAGAGCCACTCCACCAATGGCTCCACCAAGGGCAGATACTGCGAGAAAGCCGCCGCACTGCCATGGACCAGGAGCAAAGTTGGCCTCAGCTTGTTTCTTTGGGTTTAGGGTTGAAGAGGTACTACCTTAGAAACTACCGTAGGGTCTTACTATAAACCCTCATCTATAATCTATGGGGGCCCTACCAGAGTTCTGTAAAGGTAGAATTGAAAGGGGCCTACAGAAGAGCACATACGTTTTTGTAGTTCAATGTAGAATTCATGCATAAGGCAGGGCTGGGCAACCGAAGTACTGCGGCGCTTGGGCTCATGGCTTCGGGCCCATCTTAACGCATGGGCTTGATTTCACCCGGAACCCTCGACCCTAAACCGGTTTAGGGTTTGGGTTTAGGGTTTAGGGTTTAGGGTAAGTTTAGGGTTTAGGGTTTTAGGGTTCTCTGCTTCGGGTTTGAGCAGCGGAAACTTTGGGGTCGGGGGTTCAATTGCTCAAGCTTTGCCAGCCCAGACGTCAGGTGTTTAGGGAAATTGGCCCTCGGGCTTTTCCCCCCAAAACATCAACTCACATCTCCGGCCAGGGCATGAACATTCGAAGCAGTCCCTAAACCCTACAGCAGAAACCATGAAACCCCGAAACCCTCAAGCTACCAGCTGCCAGCTCTTGGCTAGGAATTCTACATCTCAATCTCTCCGTCTTCAGCCCTGAACTCCCAAACCTTCAAGGCTGATCCCCTCTGAAACCCTCGAGCCGAAACCAGAACCCTCAAAGACGCCCTAGAACCCTGGAACCCCAGAACCCTGAAACCTAAAAACCCGGACCCCCCAGTAACTAAAGAGCTAAACCCGAAACCTTGAGCCCCAAGAGCCCAAGACCCTCAACCCTAAACCCTATAAACCCTGAACCCTATACCTTGATCCCCAAGAGACCAAGACCCGACAGGAGCTTTGCACTGGGCGCCGGGCTGCCCGGGCTTTGGGTCCAGCTGTAGGTAGTTCAGGCGACGTCCAGGTCGCACCTGGACAGGGAAAGGTGGACTGGAAGATACAACAAGTACTCTATATATATATATATATACGTACACACATACATACATAAATAAATAGATCAATAAATATACATACATGAGTATATATATATATATACACATATTAGTGTGCCGCCACGTACGACAAAGATAAACAAACACAATAGCTGCAGCTGACAACCACCACTATGATCAACTACGACAGCTGTATGGGCATGGTCCCTTTTTGAGTCCTTTGTTCAGTGAATTTTCTGACCTAAGACATGTAAAGAACTACCCACATCACTTGTGCGAAGCAAGAGCTGCCATGAAAGCTCCTTCGGGACTTGCTAAACCCCAAACCTTAAACCCTAAACCCTTAACCTTAAACACCAAACCCTGAACCCCGGACCCGGACAATCGCAGGCTCTATAGGGATAGTGATCCCAAAGGCTCCCTATACAATGTAAGGACCTTAACAATTAGAATAGGGTTTTGGGGTATATATGGGTGTATTATACCATAATGAGAATAAGGAGCCCCCAAAACAGTATAGGGCCCCTATTACTACTATTCTGGAATCAGGTCCCCCAAAACCGGAACTAGAACGACCTCTTGGTGACTAATGGCAGTACCTTTGGACCCTCTGCACTGAGGCTTACTTCGACACGACGGCAGAAGCGGCTCGTGTCGCACGCACACGCAGTGGGTTTTGGGTTTAGGATTTCAGTGTCTTTACAGCCTGACCGGATCATTCCACCTCCGCTCGAGCCTTTGAATACCAATTTTCCCACCGTGCCAATAAGAAAAGAAAGCACATTGTTTGCAAATACAACCTTGCAAAGTAGTCATGGCTGTCACGGTCGTACTAAGTTTATTAGATTATCGGTCTCAGAGTCACCATACAATCCCGCTTCTACCCAAAAATCGTGGCCCCATAAACCCTAAATCCTAAACGCTAAACCCCTCAACCCTCAACCCTAAACCTTAAACCTCTAAACCCCTCAACCCTAAACCCTAAACCCCTAAACCCTTAGCCCCCTAAACGATACTTCCCAAACCCTCAGCCGTGAGCCCCAGCCCTCAGATCCTCCTCCCACTCAGCCTGCAAACCTATGGGTTTAGGGTTTAGGGTTGAGGGTGAGGGTTTAGGGTTTAGGGTTTAGGGTTTAGGGTTTGGGGTTTTTTACGGCTGCCATGCGCATC